AGTATTTTAAATTAAATATGGAGAAAATACTCTTGTTTTGCCTGCAATTTTCTAAGTCTTTCCCTTTCTACAATATTGACCATATTTGAGAGGGGTAAATAAAAGCTTAATTGCCACCCACCCTGTCCAGACTACTTTTAGATCCTAATATGAAAACACCATGCTTAATTTGTGCCATCTATGTCTGGTCACACAAATACTGGAGAGCCCAAATTTAGCTGTGAGGCTCCACTGAAAGAAAAGAGGCAAAAGAAAAGTATATAAGCGTCAGGCATATTGATACTTAACATTTTATACAAATGAAAACACATGTTAAAACTTTTTCATAACACTTTCACATATGCTGTTTCTGACAATTTTGTGTAAATTTAAAAATGTCTCCCATTTGCTGCTTCAGTTCATATTGGATACGGATTTTACAATTTCATTTGTTACCTCGCTCTCTATTTCTAGGATGATGTTGACCTTAGCAGGCTTTCCAAAAATGCCTTCTTGATTGTCCACCCTTGTAATGGTATCACTAAAGAGTGTGTATCAAGTAGAACATGCCAGATGTTACACAAAGTTAACTGAACCTAGCATTTACTGTTGCTATAGAAACAAAATAGCATCTGTTAGGTCCCTGTATACAGCTGAATTTAAAAGGCTGGTATGAAATCAATTCAGCAGATATGAACAGCTCAAATTAAGATCAACTGCCATAGCCTAGTCATTAAGAAATTCAGGGAGTATAATGGATGAAACTTTCCTATCACCCAATAATGGATGAATCCTTTCTTAATATCACACATCTTCTAAAGAAGCTCTGTAGACAAACTGGCTGGGAATAGTTTTTGCCTTAACATTTTAAATGACAACATTTGAATTCCCAAGCCTCTTTTATGGGCAAGTCATCAGTAGTCCTCAAATGACCTATTAATTTAGTATAAATATTGCCCAGATGTTACAATATTTTGGCGAATATGTTTGCCCCAAACCTTTACCCTAAGCGCTAATCATTTTGAGGCATATCTGGGGAAAAAAGGTTTAATGCTCCGGGGAGAACTAACTCCCTTAACAGAATGAGAGGAAACATGTACAAATCTAAACATGAAAACAAGGCAATAAAAGGGGGGGGGAATGAAAAAGAGGGAAGAGTTCTAGTGCCAGAAATAAGATTATATGTCTTTTCACTGGGTAAATGTGAATTAGAAATCTTTATCTTTAACAGGTCTGTAATTTTGATAATTAATGGGAAGGCCAATATTGTTACAAAGAGGATTATGAAAAGCAAATTGAGTGTGAGCCTCATTTACAAAATGGGACACCAGCAAAAGGCACACACAAAAAAGGTCTCCATGATTCTTTTCTGAAGTCTAGAATATTATTAACCTTCACCTGGACATCATGTGAAGCTTGGGGCCGGAAAGCTATCATCGAAAAGGCACCATTTAGCCATTTTGTATACCTGAACCCGGAGTGGCAAATATTCTTCGCAGAGATCATCCCACAGTTCCTGCAGGTCTGAAATCTCCAAGGGATAACTGACAGGTGTCTTGTAAAGGGGTCTCAGTGACCGGTTAAGGAAACCGGAACTAACGCCATCTGCCATGATAGGGCCAGGCCTGGCTCCAGGTGGGCTGGATTTCACTGGAATGGGAAGCTTGCTCCCTCGGGGGCTCTGGATGGGTTTATAATCAAGGCCTTTAATCACGCTAAGAGCTAGCTCCAGCTTGTGGTTACACATATGCGGGGGGGCCTGTTCATCTGAGCAACAGTCACACTTCACTGGTTCCTTTGGGCTCCTCTCCGTGTCCTCATCCTTTTGCTGTGGAGGACTAGCCTGGACACTTGCATCCAAAGACTCCACAGAGGATCCCGGGGTCCCTTCCTCCATGCTTTCTCCATCTGGGGGTCCTTTCGCGCTGGCTAAGTCCGGTGGCCCAACCTCAGACAATGCTGGTTCTTCCGTGCAAATGCTGGTGGACCACCTGGAAGAAGGGGCGCACGAGATACTTCTGGCCACCTTCCGAGGCACTTTACAAATGGCTTCATAGTCCGAGTCAGCAACCCGCAAAGCGGCACAACCACGGCATCTCCTGGGTCGGTTGGCAGGGCCTTCGGAAGCATGGCAGCTGTGTGGCTCCTGAACCTGGTCCTCGTTTTCGACCCAACACTCAAACCCTGAATAGGCGAAATCTTCCTGGAGCAAAGCGGAGTATCTCACATCGGGTAAGCCGGAAATGTCAACCGTCCCACTCCCGGGCGCCTTGGTCTCCGCGCCGGAGTCCTCGTTGTTCTTGCGATACATGCTAGCAATGCAGAACTTGAGGCGGTCCTTCTCCAGCAGCAGCTTCTGCAAGCGCTCGATAGAAAGGGCTTCGATCCGGGCGATGACGGTGTCGAATCTGTAGATCCGATCGAGCATGAAAGCACACTTGCTGCAAGCAAACTCGGCTTTGCCGTCGCGGGAGACATCCTTGCCCAGGACGTGCGAGAGCAGAACCTGGAGGTTGAGCTTGGACGCCGTGTGGAAGATCCAGCGCCGCTGGTTTCCGCACAGCTCCCGGGCACAGATCCTGCAAATCTCCTTCATCTTCTCTCTCAGCCTCTGCCGAGCTTCCCTGAGGCGCCTGCGGCTCGGCGATCACTCACTGGCGCCGGGCTGCGCTCCGTCTCCCGCCTCGGTGGCCTGCCGCCGGCATGGCACAGCCCGCTGGGGTCCCCACCGTGCAGGGGCGCCCCTTCTTCCAAGACCGGCGCGCGGGCTCTGGGTACCAGAGTGGTCGGCCCCGCCCCTCGGGGAGGGCGCGGGCGTAGAAACGCCTCAGGGGGATGCTGAGTGACAGCAGCGCGGGCCGCGCTCGGAACCTGCCATGTCTCCGCCAGCTGTCGCTCCCGCCAGCCCAGCCGCCGCGTCCTCAACGTCCTCCTTCCAGCAGGCTGGGCTCGCCGTCCACTCGCCGCCGCGGGTCGCTGACGCAAAGGCTCGGAGGTTGAGGATCAGGTTTCAAGATGGCGTCAGCGGCTCGGCGCCTGCGGCCACCCGCTCGCTTCTCTGGGATCTGTAGTCCCGGAGGCCGCGCCCCCGCTCTGCGCATGCGCCCTGGCGAGCGCGTCCCTTCACCCCCTAATCGGGTCACCGCTCGTCGCTGTGGAANGTTTCTTTCCTTCATACTTTTCCTTTCAAACTCTAATCACCACCTTGCAGGCAGAGTTACAGCTTACCTTAAATCCCTTCCTGCCATCCACTGAATGGAAGTAAAAGGATTTCAGAAGAAAAATCTTTTCTATTCCTCCAGTGCTATTTACCAATTTTTCTACGTCAGCATGGATTTATAATAGCCCTACACTAGCCAGCACAGCTATTAAGTACCCTAGTATGCAAAGCATCATGGAGGCTGGAGCGGGGAGCTACATGATAAATAAAGGAACAAGGAAATACACAAAATATCAGATAGTGACAAGTCCCGTGCAGTAAAACAAGAAAGCATGATAAAGTGGTGAAGGTACTACGCTAGGCTGGTTGATCAGTGGAAGGTCTCTAGGAGGCAACATGTCAATGGAGGTCTGAAGGACAAGGATCCAGACCTCCAAAGATCTACGGAAGGAGCTAGGCTGAGGGAACAGCTCATGGAAAGGACCTGGGGTGGATAAGAGCCCAGGAAAGAGAAAGGCCGATGGGACTCGAGTATCACTTTTCAGTAGAAATACAACAGGAGCCATATGTGTAACTTTAAATTTCCTAGTATCTTCATTGACTAAAGCAAAAATAAATAGGTGAACATAATTTGCATAAAAGATCTTATTTAACCCAATATATTACACCCAAAATATTATCATAAACATGTATTCAATATAAAAATTATTAACAAGATAGGGTACATTCCTTTCACACTAAGTCTTTAAAAAGAGGGGTATGCTTTACACTCACAGCACATCTCAATTTAGTCTAGCCACATTTCAAGTGCTTAATAGCCACATAAGGCTAGTGGCTGCCTTGCTGGGCAGGACAGGGCTAGAACGTTATGGGCAAAGGGGACAGTAATCCACAAGGAGGTGGAAAGAAAGGCGGGGGGCCAAGTCATAGGCACCTTCTGTGCAGCATGGTTAATGAAACTGAGTTTCATTCTAATTAAAACCAGAATGGACTGCAGTGTCTTTAACAGAGAAGTAGTCCAATCATATTTAAATGTTAAAAAGATGACTCAAGCTGCTCTGTGGTGAATGGATTGTGGGGAGAGCGCCAGTAGAAACATGGAGACCAGGTAGGAGGCGATGGCAGTAATGTTTGTGAAGGATAATGGTACCTTGGATTGTAGTGGTAGTGATGGAGCGGGGGAGAAAGGGATAGACTTTGGTATGTTTTAAGAGCAGAATCAACGGGACTGGATGGTGGGAGAGAGAGAGAGAAAAGCAGCAAGGAACATGACTCCTACGAAATTGAGATTTTTGTTGTTTGTGGCATAACAGAGAGCCTCGCCCTGAAGCAATGAGCTTATGTCACACCATGGGAGAGGTAACTATTTAATAGATATGCACAATTCTAACCGATAAATAGCTTTATCATGTACTTAATAAAACATTCTCTACAAAATTTGGCTTACTTCCTCAGTGTAAAACAACTTTCCAATAACATCTATTATAAGATATTTTTCAAATTTAAACTATGACATACAGAATTAAAATAGCCCCAAGTTTAAAATGGCAGGAAAGGTGATCATATTTACAAGTGCTCTAAATGAAAGAATCTTAGCGCTGTGAAGAAAACTTTTTAACTAACGATCTAGATGGTCCAATCCCATCTTCCATTTGAGGAAATGGAGACCTAGAGAAGGTAATCATTCGTCCAGAGGAACCCAAAAAATCAGGCAGAGGGTCCAATTAAACCGAATGCAGCGCACTGAAGTTGGTGATGTATCTTTCACCTCCATAAACCACTGCCTACCAAAATGCCTGGGCTATTGTAGGGAGCAAAGGTTTTTGTTTAACAAGTAAACAAACAATAAAAACAAAGGCAAACAAACAGAAATAGGCCTGGCAAATGTTCTAAAATGTTCTAATCCTTCACTGGCTCTCTGAGAAATGAGATGTGAGAAAGAGAGAGATCGCTAATATAGATATTTCAACAGCAACTTTAAAGCCAAAGAACGCCATAGAAAAGTACATATGAACCTAGATCTCATCTGAACCCACCCTGACATGAATTATCACAGGAAAGCCCTAATTCTGTAAGTGTAATGTGATGACCTAAAAGCTGGAAGCTGTTTGTTTTTTCTTTCTTCATAATACTTGATTGTTTTAGATCTCATAAAAAAGTCCTTTCAGATTAGCGTGCCAAAAGAGCACTCAGCAAAGTCCCACTGAGTCCACAGCTCATAATGAACTCACGTGAAGGATCAAGTGCATAAACCAACAGCTCTTAGACGAAAATTGTATAGAGCTATCTTCCATTTTTATAGATTTTTAATCAGTAATACATGATTTGGTTGATCAGTGTTACTCTCCAGACTATCAGCCACTAAAATCATGTTGTAATAATAATATAATTTTAAATTATTATATGTTGCTTTTGACTCAAGACAAATGCTTTCCGGTATCAGAAAAGAGAATTCCTTCCAGGCCTAATGTTGTACAATGTAAGGCCTCCAGGTGAAAAGGCAGTCGCAATTTAGACCTTGCGGACTAACAGCATTTTTCTGGGCACTTTTCTAGCCCTCACAATAGCAAGTCATAGATCTCAAGCTGCTGTAATTTTCTACCCTGTTGTTAATAAGAAGAGATACACAAGAACCAACAACTAGTGTAAAATTAAAGGTCTAATCTCTGACCAGCATCTAACGCTTCCATAGTCCAAAGGGCCTGATCTGGGTGACGTAGCTAAACTATGAGCGGTGTAACCTACCACAGTCACACAGGAGCAGGTGCTGGCATTGCAAGGAAATTACACACGGGCCAGAGCCGACCTGATGTTTACTAAGGGACCACACCCCTTCCAACATAGCTTTTTTGGTTCAGGGCCAGACAATAAAGAAGAAAAGTACCAGCTAGAATAAGGCTTCACACCTTTCTTTAGATATGTAAACAACCTTGGGTCTTCAGGCATAAATTCTGTGGAAGGCAAATAGATTAATGTACATAATATCAGAAAACTACCCTGTGGCTTGCTTTTCTTTAATATAAGGAAGAAAGAATGAAAGAGAGAAAAGAAGAAAAGCAACCGGGGGGAATTGTGATGGTGATATTTAAGAGTGCACAGAATGGGGTTAAGTAGATTAAACAAAGGAATCAAAATGACCTTACAGAACTATCAATGTTGCTCTTTAGGATAAGAGGTTCTCCTCATATTTGTAGTACCATTTAGCTAAAGAAAAACTTGGTTTTTTTCATGGTTTTTTTCTTTCCATAAGCTAAAAAGACAACTACCAAAAATAATTTGCATTTGTTTCTGTTCTTTCCACATTTGTTCAGAGAAACAGACAAAAACCAACCTGCCTTTGTCCCACTTAGCTCTGGCTTTGCCATAAAGCACACGGGCCTTAAGGAGCTTAAATGTCACCCTGACTTAAACAATAGATCAGGGGTCCAAAATATACATTTTATTTTCAAACACGTTGAGCCCAATTTATCATTCTATTTACCCCACATCCTTAATTATTCGAGCAAACGGTACAGCATAGAAACGCCAGGATTCTTCAAGCTGAATATTACTTTCCCCCTCCTCTCGATGTTTTATCATCCAACAAACAGTAAAGAATGTAAGCCAGGGGACGGCAGAAAGGTCATATACTATTGTCTTAAACATCAATTTTTCCAATGTCCAAATTCAGTGAGTGAAGTGAAGGGACTTGGCTTAAAAGTACAATTACCAAATTTTAAATGTGCTTATTAGGATGACAATTTCCTTCACAGAATCCCTAAAGAATCCTCCTGAAATCCTTCGGTTAT